ACAACGGAAACGACGACGACGCCAAGACGACGACAAGGAAGGACAGAGGACGACGACGGCGACGACGACGACGAAAGAGGAGGGAGGACGGCGACGACGACGACGACGCAAGAGCGCGCGCACGCTTTTGTTGAACATCCGTGTTGCGAAACCGTGTGTTTTTGTTGGTTGTTTGGACACACGATGTTGACATCCTTCCGAAACCGATGGATTTTGAAGGATTTCGGCGTACGCGCGCGACGACGCGCGCGTCTGCACTTCGTCCTTTTTTTGCAGAGGAGTCTCGCGACGGCACACGCGCAAAGGGCATTCGACAGATTTCGACATGCGCGCGCGCGAAGCCCGTTTGGTAGTATTTTGTGGAAATCTTGAAAAAAAACCTATGGTTTACTTCAGATTTCGCAAGAGCTCGCGCGTAAGCTTTTTTAGTAAATCCGTGTTGCGAAACCCTGTGTTTTTGTATGTTTTTGTTTTGGGGGGGGAGCTCGATTGCGAAATCCTTCCAACACCGACGGTTTTTTTGTAGGATTTCTGCATGCGCGCGCGACGGCGCGCGCGTGTGTACTGCGTCCCGTTTTTTTTTGTTGCAAGGAATTCGTGACAAATGTTATGTTCGAACAAACCATGTCACCGCATAGTGTTTTTTACAAGGGAACCTCAGGGGGGAACCCGGCTGGCCTGGGACATTGCGATTTCATGTTTAGGATGAACATGCGGTCATAATTATATGTGATTTACATAGGACGCGGGGGGGTGATAACGCCAGGGGGGGGGGTAGAGTCTATATTTTTCTAGAAGGGAGAACTCTCGAGGGGCAACTTATGTAATGCAGTATACGGTCTATGTGGTACCCATGCGGTGCAGTTCGCGCGCGACAACGTATGCGGTGCAATCTATGTGGTGCAATCCCTGTGGTACAATTGACTACCCTGCACCGCTCTTGACCACTTCAGCTGCTCGCGCAATCATCCCACCCACCCACCCGCAAGTTGGTTTGCAAAACCCCATGCGGCGACGATTGCGATGAGTGGTCGGCGTTGGCTGGTCCATCTCTGCGGCCGCGCCAACCCAAACACGCGCGCGCAGCGGCCAGCTAGTTCGGCGCGACCGACGCGGCCGCGGTGGCGTTGACCGTTGGGCACATCCCAGCGGGCACTTCACTGCGAGTCGGCGACTTGGGTGGGCGCTATCGTGGCAACGTCGACAACGGTAGACACGAGGATCGTCGCAGCGATTGCTGGTGACGATGTCGACAACGACGACGGCGTGGCCAGTGCGGGCGCCGACGCTGATCACGCCGACGGCGATGACGGCGTCCTCGCGTCGGTCATGGAGGTTTTGGAAAGAGTTCAACATGCGCGCGCGGCGGGCGCGCGAGAGTGGCCCGCATGGTCTTCTTCGACACGGACCGTGCCCCCCCAGCACGCGCGCACAGGCGTGCGAATGATGTCGGCATGCGGCGCCAGAGGCCCGATTGGCATACATCCACGGAACTGATGACACAACTTGTGGTTTTCCCAAGGATTCGCAAGAGCGCGAGCGCACGCTTTTTGGAAAGCTGATGTTGCGAAACCATGTGCTTTTGTATGTGTTTTGGACGCTTGGTTTTGGAATCGTTGCGGTCGCATTTTCGTAAATTGTTGAAAACGTATGATTTTCTTACAAATTGGTAAGAGCGCGCGCGCATTTTTTCCTTTTTTTTTGTAAGCCGACAATTCGTGTTGCGAAACCCTGAATTTAGTGTCTTTTTGTTTTTTCGGATCCTCGATTTGGAAACCCTTACGGACCCGAGCGTTTTTGAAGGATTTCGGAATGCGCGCGCGACGACGCACGCGTGTGCACCTCGTTTTTTCTTTGGGGCAAGGGGTTCTTGGACACTTATGGTTTTTGATAAACGTGTGCGCGCGCATCGTATGTTTTGCAGAGGGTTTACGGGGGGGTACGGTTATGGACGATGGAACAACATCGTATGCAGATTGCAAAACCAAAAAATGGGCCGATACTCCGGGGGGGGTAGAGTCTACTCCCCAAATCAGAGCTTGCCTCTGTAGGGGTCTTTAGTGGATCCATATGGTTAAGTGAGGTTCGTCGCCGATTTCGGTGGCAGGCCCGGGCGTTGGGGTGCCTGGGTGCCCGGGTGCCTGGGGGTGCCCAGGAGCCCGCGTGTCGGGGTGCTTGGGGGTGTCCAGAGTTGCCCTGGAGTGCCCAGGGGTGCTCGGGTGCCCTATAGCCTTGTAGCCCTATAGCCTTATAGCCTTGTAACCCTATAGCCGTATAGCCGTATAGCGCTACAGTCCTAATAGCCCCAATCGCCCTATAGCCTTTTAGCCCTACAGCCCCATAGCCCTATGGCCCTATAGCCTCATAGCCTTATAGCCCTACAGCCTTATATCCCCATAGGCCTATTGCCCTATAATCCTATCGCCCTGAGGCCCTATAGCCCCTACAGCCCTATTACCCTACAACCCTATGGCCCTATAGTCTTATAGCCTTGTAGCCTTAGCCCTACAGCCCTGTAGCTCTATAGCCAGCCCTAGGGCCTATAGCCCTATAGCCCTATAGCCCAATAGCTTTATGGCCCTATAGCCCTATAGCCCCAGAGCCTTATAGTCCCATCGCCCTATAGCCGTATAGCCCTCCCTATAGCCCCATAGCCCCATAGCCCGACAAAGATTATGATTGGGTTTTTTGTCTGGTATTATTCTGTATTCTCTACTTAGAAAAAGAGAATCTATGAGACGTCGACGGCGGCGACGGGCGGCACCGCCCGCAAAAGCCGCCACCCGCCCCGAGCGGCGGCGACGGCGACGGCGACGGCAGCGACGGGCGGCACCGCCCGCAAAAACCGCCACTCATCCCGAGATGGTTCAGCCAACTAAGAACTCAATGCAAGCACTGCTCGGGGAATGAAGGTGATTATGATGCGGATGAGGATAAGCATGGGGATGAGGATGCGGATGAGGAGGATGATGATGATGATGATGATGATGATGATGATGATGGTGATGCTGATGGTCATTGTGATGGTGATGATGATGTTGATGAGTATGATGATGACGCTGATGATAATGATGATGATGCTGCTAGCGGCGCTTCTACTGATTACGATGATGGTGACTATTGCGATGACGGTGATGATGATCGCGATGAGGCTGATGATGATGACGATGATGCGGCTGCTTCTGATGATGAACATGATTGTGATGTCACTGATGATGCTGATGACGTTGTTGCCAATGATGATGATGCTGATGGCGGTGATGAGGATTATGATGATGATTATGCTGATGACGATAATGTTGATGCCAATTACGATGGTGATCGCGACGATAGCGATGATTCCGATTCTGCTGCTGCTGCTGATGATGATGACTCGGATGATGCTGATGGTGTTGATGGTGATGCTGACGTTGCTGTTGATGTTGCCGTTGACGTTGGTGATTACGATAGTGCTGCTGATGAGCATGCTGATGCTGATGATGATGATGATGATGGTGGTGATGATGATGCTGACGATGCTGATGCTGGTGATGATACTGATGCTGATGCTGACTATGATGATGCCGTGGATGGTGTTGCTGATGATGATGCTGACGAGGTTGATGATGATAGTGAGGATGCTGCTGGCGATAATGCTGATGATGAGGATAATGACGATGATTTCGATATTGATGTAATGACGTTTATGATGCCGATGATGATAATGATGCTGATGATGCGGGTGCTGTTGCTGATGATGATGCTGATTGTGATGATGCTGATGATGATGATGATGATGATGATGATGCTATTGATGACGATGTGATGACGGTGACGATCATGATGATGACGATGATTATGATGATGATTATGACGATGCTGATGATGATGCTGATGATGATGCTGATGATAATGATGCTATGATGATGATGATGCAGCTGCTGCTGCTGATGATGATGATGCTGATTACGATTCTGATGATGCTGATGGTGACGATGATGCTTATGATGATGATGATGATGATGATGATGATGATGATGATGATGATGATGCTCGTGATCGTGATGATGCTGCTGATGATGATGAGGCGGAGGAGGAGACTGCTGCTGATGCTGATGTCGTTGATGACGATGATGATGGTGGTGGTGGTGGTGGTGATGATGATGATGATGATGATGATGATGATGATGACGATGATGATGACGATGACGATGACCACCGCCCCCTCGTGCCCCCCTTCGTGCCCCCCTTGCCCCCCGCCCCCTCGTCCACTCCTAGCCCCCTTGCCCCCCCCCTTTCCGCGCGTCCCCTGTCCCCTCCCCCCCTCGTCCGCGCACGTGTCCCGGGCCATGCGCTGCGAGCCAGGGCTGGACCTGATCGTTGTTCTGCTGGACCTCGGCCGTGCTGCGTTCTTCGTTTTGGCGGGGAGGTGCGGAAAAGCAGGTCGAGCAGAACGAAACACAACACGCAACACAAAACAAACAAACCGAAGCACACAAGGAACCACAACACAGCAAACAGCGAAGCACGACACGAAACACAACGAACACACAACAGACACAGCTCGAGCATAACGACGCACACAACGAAACACAACGCACGTGTAGGTCCAGCACTGTTGCGGACCCCCCTCCTGGACGCCCCCCGAGGCGGCCCGCCGACGGAGGAGAAGGAGGAGGACGAGGAGGAGGACGAGGAGGAGGACGAGGAGGAGGAGGAGGATGTGGAGGAGGAGGAGGAGGAGTCGTGGAGGAGGGGGAGTCCTGGAGGAGGAGGAATCGTGGAGGAGGAGGAAGAGGAGGAGGCGGAGGAGGAGGAGGAGGAGAAGGAGGAGGAGAAGGAGGAGGAGGTGGAGGAGGAGTCGTGGAGGAGGAGGAGGAAGAGGAGGAGGAGGGGGAGGAGGAGGAGGGGCAGGTGGATGTAGTACCACCGCCATCAGGATAAGTCTAGGAAAGACCAGTGACCCTCTTTTGGGGGGCCCCATGGGGCTCCTCTTGTCCTGGCAGGAACACCTCCCTAGGATGGCGCAGTGGCGCGATGGGATCAACCTCGCGTGGCAGGAGTCCTGGCAGAAGCTGCAGGGAGTGGAGAACCGCTAGCAACATGTGCGGGGCCACTTGGCAGCAGTACAGGCCACATTACTAGACATGAACTGGTCCCCGAATTCACCAGGAGACTGGACCATACCCATTGGGGAGAAATTCAATATCGAAGGTCCTGCAGGACCTGATCTTTTTAAATTTTGAGGTAGGGTCCGCCCTGGATCAAACAAAGCTTGTGGGCCTAAGCCAGTAAACATTTTGAGGGTGCTGGGGCCGAGTTCGGTATTGATCTTTCTGTGACTTGGGCCCACCTCAAGAGTTTGCGTAGGAGAGGACTCAATAATCTGGCAGCGGTTTTAGAGATGGTCAGCCAGGGGGCCTTGTGGCCTGCCAAACGAAGGTTTGAAACCACTCGCCTGGGATCACCATGCTGCCCTAGGTGTGGGGCGCTGGAAGAAAGCTTGTCTCACCAGTTTTGAGAGTGTCCGAGCAACAACAAAATCCCATAACTTAGTGAAGACCGCGGCCTAGTAGCCCAGGCCGCAGAAAAGGGGCCCGTAGGTTCCCCTGGTTTTTGCTTAGAGGTCTGGTCCCAATTGTGTGGACCATGGCAGGGCCAGATCTCCCGTTTCCAGTTGAAGAGGTCACGCTCGAAGGAGAGTGGCCAGAATCGGACCGTCTACCGCTCCCTCCAGGCACCGTCATACGTTCAGACGGGTCAGGAGGTGAGCATTCGCGAGACGCCAGACTCCGACGAGTTGGATGGTCGTTCGTCGTCTGTGTCGGAAAGGAGGTCAGGGCGGCCAAGCGAGGTAGCGTAGCGGGACCCAGACAGACTGCACCGCGAGCAGGGCTGCTAGCAGTAATTCGGGGGACTTCGTCCGATCGCGGTCGGCGAGGTCCTGCGCCGCTTGACCAGCAAGGTGCTCTGCGACCACGTCAAGGGTCGTGCGCGCCAGATGCTCTGGCCGCTACAGACAGGCTGCTGCAGCCCCCTGGGGGCTGAAGCCACGGTTCACGCCGTGCGCCAGTGGTGCGAGCGAAATGCAGACGAGGACGACAAGGTGCTGTTCAAGCTCGACTTTGCAAACGCTTTCAACTCGCTGCACCGTGACCCCGCGTTGCGCGCTGTCCGTGCCCGCTTCCCGGAGCTGGAGCGCTGGGCGCGCTGGGCTTACGCGGGGCCCTCCAATCTGTGTTTTGGCAGCCGTGTGATGTCTTCGCAGGCAGGCGTGCAACAGGGGGACCCGCTGGGGCCCTTGATCTTCGCCCTCGCCGCACACGCGGTGTTGGAGGAGCTTGCGGGCGCTGCAGACCTGGACCCATGCGCCTTCTACCTGGGCGACGGCTTCCTGGCGGGCTCGAAGGAGGCTGTGGCGCGAGCACTAGCGACTCTGCAGCGCCGCTGCCCTGACTTGGGCCCCCTGCTCCACCTCGGCAAGTGCGAGCTCGTAGTCCCCTGCGGACGCAGGCCGGGCGGCCTGGCAGACCTCTTCCCTGCGCCTCTCCTGGCGGGCGCAGAGACGGGGGTCGACCGCGTTGTCCTCAGAGGCGGCTTCAAGCTCTTGGGAGCGCCTATTGGGGCGAAGGACTACTGCGAGGCGTTCGCCCAGCGCCGCGCCGACAAGACGAAGCCCGCCCTGGAGGCGCTCGCCAACCTGCACCCCCAGGTGGGCCTCGCGCTCCTGCGCTACTGCGCGAGCTACGCGAAACTCGTGCACAGCGCCCGCACGGCGCCGTCTGTTCTGCTCTCGCAAGCGTTGCACTTCTTCGACGACGGCCAGCGGCGCGCGCTGTCGAACCTGCTGGCGGGCGGACCTGACGGACGCGCAGTGGCACCAGGCAGCCAGAGGGCTCGCCCACGCGTGGCTCGGTCTGCGGGAGCTGACAGCGCGCGCGCCCAGCGCTTACTTGGCCAGCCTCGCAGCCACGCGGCACCTGCGCTGCGACCTCGACCCGGCCTACGCGTGGGCGCCGGACAGCGCGGCTACGCTGGAGGGGCAGGCGCTCCTGGCGTACAACGCCCTGCTGGCGCCGGCGGACGGCCTCGACCCGGCGGCGCTCGACAGGGCCACGCAGAAGCAGCTCTCTGCCGCGGTGGGCGAAAGCGGGCACCAGACCTTTCTGGCGGGCTTGGGGGCAGCTGACCGCGCTGACATCAATTCAGAGATGCTGCCTGGCGCGTCAGACTTCCTCGTGGCGCAGCCCAGTGAGCAGCTGGGGCTCCTTTTCGAACCCGAGGAATTCGCGTGCGAGGTCAAGCGCAGGCTCCTCATGCCCGTGTACGAGACTGAGCACTTCTGCCCCTGCTCCGAGGACGTCTGCGACCGCCACGGCCGGCACGCAGGACTATGCGCGGGGGCCGGGGATCGCGTCCACTGGCACAACGGGGCGAGGAACGTGGTCGGCACCTTCGCCACCAGTGCGGGCTTCAACCCGACGCTCGAGCAACCTGGCCTCCTACCGCCCCGCCCAGACGACGTCCAGGTGAATGGGCGCCGGCCTGCAGATGTCTACATGCCCCCCTGGTTCCAGGGGGCGCCTGCTGCCTTCGACTTCGCGGTGTCTTCGCCGCGCAGGCAGGCTGCCCGTGTCCTGGCGTTCCAGGGGGTGGGGCGCGCGGCGCAGGAGTACGAGTTGGTGAAGAGGAACCACCTCGACACAGAGCGGCAGTTCCAGCAGCAGGGGGTCGCGTTCATCCCCCTCGTGGCGGAGCCCTCTGGAGGATGGGGCCCGACTGGCGCCGAGACTCTGCGCCGGCTCGCCCGGGCCAGCGATCGGAGACGAGGCGAGGAGCTGGGGGCGGGCGCGGCGCGCCTGTTCCAGCGCCTGTCCGTGGCGATCCGCCAGGCGACGGCGCGAGCAGTCCTGAGGAGGCACGCGGGGCTCCTCTCGGCTGGCGGAGCTGCGGCTGCCGCGCCGAGCTTGCTGGCAGAGCTGGTGGGGGACGACGCTTAGAGCGCGCCCCGCCGTCGCTCTTTTTCTGCCCCTCCTCTCGCCGTGTCTTCCACCCGCCCGCGCGCGGGCAGCTACTGAGCATTTTGATGTTTTTCGTGTTTACGCGAGTGACGATCCCTTCTGCTGTCGTCTTCGTCGTTCGTCGTCGTCGTCCGTCGTTCGTCCCTTCCGCTCCTCTCGCCTTTCCCGCTCCTCCTCCGCCGCCGGCGTCTCCTCCTCCCCTCGGGGGGCCATTCCTTGCGGTAGGTTGGTGAACGGTGCGCGCCCTGCTCCCGCTTGCGGAAGCTGGGGCGTGCGCCGATCGCCTCTCGCTGCTTTGCGTGGCCCCCTTCCCGCCCTCGTGCCCCTCGGGGCCTCCCCCGTCGTTGCTGCTTGCTGATGGATCGACGCTAGCTATCCACACTGCAATAACACACTGCTTGACCGACAGCACCAGCTGTCTGTGAGAGCGCGCGCGTGTGCTGTTCGGCCTTGATTCCCGACTCCTGTCGTAGTAGACACAAGTTGTGTAATCAAGGGGGCCCATCCGGGACCAATGGCAGTTCACAGTTCTAATGCCGACCTATGGGTTGAATTTTGGACGGAGACCCAGGCCCGAGAGGGCCGTTTTTCGTATTTAAAAGCCACCTGAATGAATCTGAGATAGGAATCTCGATCAGTGAGACACACTGGTACGCTAACGCCGGAGCCGACATAAGAGCGGAGGAAGCGGCGAAAAACGCAGCACCCAGTGTGGCTTTAGTTTTCAAGGTTAGAGAAGCAGATAGATTTCCGTGGAGAGTCCAGAAGAGGCTCATAACCATCGGTCTCGAGGTGCCAAACACGCCGCCGATTTGTGCGGAACCACTCTCAAAGGGGATGTCGCCGCCAGGAGGAAACATAACGCCAAGGCCCAATGCAAGGCCAGAGTGGCGGCGACCCGAGGGACCTCCCATGTCTTGGAGCAGACTAACAAAGGTTTCAAGTGTAAGTTTTGTCTAAGATCTACCAGCAAAGCTGGGCTTACCCAGTTTTGCGAGACGATATTTGAAAACAAACCGCTTGCCATCCACAGCTCACATAGACTGGAGCAGTATAGAGGCCTGTGGTTTTGCAGGGCCTTTGCAGCACAGGGCAGTACGCGCTTCTTGAAGTTAGCTAGCCCATGTATTGCAGGGCTCAACAAGGAGGGGATAATGACCCTTCAGCAGATAGACCAGGGCAAGAAACCTAAGGGTATCAAACAATGGCCTGATGAGAAGGAGGCTTGAAGGTGCACCCACTTTGTCCTCCCCCCGACTGCCCACCGACGACTGCCCGCTGGGTTCGTCGGATGATCTTGCCAGGGGGAGGGTGGCCTTGTTGTCGAACTGGATCCCAGGCCTTTCTCTTTCAATGTTGTATGTTGTGCCCACTGGCCCCGGGGCTCTTGGATGGGGTCGGGCCAGGGGTCAGGGGAGTGTTGCTTTCGCCTGGCCCGACTCTTTAAGAGGCAATAGTGTGACCATGGGACACTGCCTCAGGTGGGGGCGCAGGAGGAGGAGGAGGAGGAGGAGGAGGAGGGGGAGTCGTGGAGGAGGAGAAGTCGTGGAGGAGGAGGAGGAGGAGGAGTCGTGGAGGAGGAGGAGGAGGAGGCGTGGAAAAGGAGGAGGAGGAAGAAGAAGAGGAGGAATCGTGGAGGAGGAGGTGGAGGAGTCGTGGAAGAGCAGAAGGAGGAGGAGCGGAGGGGAGGAGGAAGAGGAGGAGAGGAGGAGGAGGAGGAGGAGGAGGAGGTGGAGGAGTCGTGGAGGAGCCCTGTTGCGGACCCCCGTTTTGCACGCCCCCCCTTCCACGCCCTCGACGGTGCCCGCGGCCCGTGCTGCCAGGCCTTCGACGAGCCGCCCCCGCTGGCCTGCGACGCCCCCGCGGCCGCGGGGGCGCCGCCCATGGGCCCGCAGTCGCTGCTCGGGGACTTGCCGGCGCTGGGCAGCGAGCGCCAGGAGCGGCGGCCCCCAGGCCTCCGGCGGAGAAGGAGGAGGAGGAGGAGGAGGAGGAGGAGGAGGAGGAGGAGGAAGAGGAGGAAGGGGGGGAGGAGGAGGAGGAGGAGGAGGAGGAGGAGGAGGGGAAGGAGGATACGTGGTGGAGGAGAAGGGGGAGGAGGAGAACCAGCGTAAACTAATTTCCCATCAGCGATATTTCAAGGAACCCTCCTTCAACACTTCCTCTTCGTAGGCCCCATTCCAGGATTCATTTTCACGGAGGGAAGTGCCCCGTTTGAAGACGACCGTTTGAAAATCCAGAACTGTGCAAGAACACTTTTCCTGGGATTTCAACGCCGCGAATCACTTTTGCTTTTGCGTCTCGACGATCGTGAATCGTGCCAGAACGCTTCCTGTGACTTCTGCACCGCGAATCCACGTGACAGTTGTGCCTTGACACTCCGACATCGTGCCCAAACACCGTCTCTGGGACTCTGCGCATGGGAATCCGTTGTATTCTTGCAATTTTTGTAAGGCGAATATGCGTGGCGCTAAGGCGGGAGAACCTCATTTTAAAAAGGGGCCGCCGTCCATCCGTGAAGCTCATGCAACATGTTACCACGAATGAGCGCGGCGTTGAGGCTAGAGTGAGATTTTGAGAACGGACCGCCGTTCATCCGTGAAACTGCTGCGAATTTCAAGTTTCAGGACCATGACATATTATGGAAGTTTCACGCGAAACGCCCGGCCCACCCTTTCGACTGGCTTCGGGGTGCGACAGGAGGGGCTCTTTATACGGAAGAGGAATAGAGGAGGAGCAGGAGGAGCAGGAGGAGGAGGAGCAGGAGGAGGAGTAGGTGGAGGTGGAGGTGGAGGTGGATGTGGAGGAGGAGGAGGAGGAGGAGGAGGAGGAGGAGGAGGAGGAGGAGTGGGAGCAGGTGGAGGTCGAGGAGGAACAGGAGGAGGAGGAGGAGGAGGAAGACCAGTGTAAGCCCAAGAACTCATCAACGATGTTGGAATAACCCTCCCTCCAGGCTCCATTTTCACCTGTCCCTACAAGGTCCTCTGAGGGAAGTGCCCCGTTGGGAGACAACCGTCTGAGATCCTGAAGCGCGCCGAAACACCATTCTCGGGACTTCAACGCCACGAATCAGCTTGACTGTTGCGTCTTCCCGATCCCGAATCGTGCCGGGAAACCGCTCGTGTGACTTCAGCACCGGGAATACACGTGCTGCGCCCTGACGGTGCGGAATCGTTCGAAGGCACAGTTTGGGGATGGTGAAACTCTTGCACTTTTTTCCCCAAACAGCTTGCTGAACGGGGTGCTGTTGTGATAGAAGCTAATTCCGGCCGAGGGAAAGCTAAGCAGAGACATCCTCAAACAAATGTGGTGGTCCGGCCCGTTTCGCCTGAGACATCCTCACAACTCTCGTTTCTGAGTTGTCCGGGATTGAGCGTTTCGCCTGAGACATCCTCCTAAATCTGAGCTCTGAGAGGCCGCGCGAGAAGTGGTCCGGGCCGTTTCGCTTGAGACATCTTCGAAACTCTGAGCTCCCAGATGCCGCGCGAGAGGTGGTCCGGGCCGTTTCGCCTGAGACATCCTCGCAACTCTGAGCTCCAAGATGCCGCGCGCGAGGTGGTCCGGCCCGTTTCGCCTGAGACATCCTCGAAACTCTGATCTCCCCGATGCCGCGCGCGAGGTGGTCCGGCCCGTTTCGCCTGAGACATCCTCGAACTTCTGAGCTCTGAGATGCCCTGCGCGAGGTGGTCCGGCCCGTCTCGCCTGAGAAATCCTTGCAACTCTGAGATCTGAGATGCCGTGCGCAAGGTGGTCCGGCCTGTTTCGCACAAGATATTCTCGCAACTCTGAGCTCTCAGATGCTGCGCAAGAGGTGGTCCAGCCTGGGGGCCCAGAAGGCCACATGTTACATATCCTCCATGGGACCCTGCGAGCCTCAGGAGGCCCCAGAGAGGTCCAGGAGGCCGCAGGACGCCCAGGACAGGCCCCAGGGGCCCCCAGGAGATTCCCAGGAGGCCCCAGGAGGCCCTCTATCAGAACGTGTCAAGTTAATACACATCCGGTGTCGATTCGTTGATTTTTCCTGCTCTTGTGCCCCCCCCTCCATTTGGAGAGGCCCAAGCGGCCACAGGTTAGATATCCCCCCTGGGAGCCCCAAGATGCTTCAGGAAACCTCAGGTGGAGTTCAGGAGGCCACAGGAGGCCCAGGAGGAAGCTCCAGGAGGTCCCCAGGAGCACCAGGAGGCCGCAGGACGCCCAGGACAGGCCCCAGGGGTCTCCAGGAGATTCCCAGGAGGCTCCCAGGAGGCCCCAGGAGGCCGCTTATCAGAACGTGTCAAGTTAATACACATCCGGTGTCGATTCGTTGATTTTTCCTGCTCTTGTGCCCCCCCCCCCTCCATTTGGAGAGGCCCAAACGGCCACAGGTTAGATATCCCCCCTGGGAGCCCCAAGAGGCTTCAGGAAACCCCAGGTGGAGTTCACGAGGCCACAGGAGGCCCAGGAGGAAGCTCCAGGAGGTCCCCAGGAGGCCCCAGGAGGCACCAGGAGGCCCCCGCAACTCGGAGCTCTGAGACGCCGCGCTCGAGGTGGTCCGGCCCGTTTCGCCTGAGACTTCCTCGCAGCACGTTTCGCCCGAGACATCGTCGCAACTCTGGGGTCCGAGATGCCGCGCGCGAGGTGGTCCAGCCCGTTACGCTGGAGACATCCTCGCAACTCTAGGCTCCGAAATGCCGTTCGCGATGAAGAGGAGGTGGAGGAGGAGGAGGAGGAGGAGGAGGAGGAGGAGGAGGAGGAGATGGAAGGGAGAAGGAGGAGGCGGATGATGTGCATGAGGGAGCAGGCAGGAGGAGGGGGAAGTCCCAGAGAGCTTCAGGAGGCCGCAGGACGCCCAGGACAGGCCCCAGGGGTCCGCAGGAGATTCCCAGGAGGCTCCCAGGAGGCCCCAGGAGGCCCTCTATCAGAACGTGTCAAGTTAATACACATCCGGTGTCGATTCGTTGATTTTTCCTGCTCCTGTGGCCCCCCCCTGTATCTGGAGAGGCCCAAACGGCCACAGGTTAGATATCCCCCCTGGGAGCCCCAAGATGCTTCAGGAAACCTCAGGTGGAGTTCAGGAGGCCACAGGAGGCCCGGGAGGAAGCCCCAGGAGGTCCCCAGGAGGCCCCAGGAGGCACCAGGAGGCCCCCGCAACTCGGAGCTCTGAGACGCCGCGCTCGAGGTGGTCCGGCCCGTTTCGCCTGAGACTTCCTCGCAGCACGTTTCGCCCGAGACATCGTCGCAACTCTGGGGTCCGAAATGCCGCGCGCGAGGTGGTCCAGCCCGTTACGCTGGAGACATCCTCGCAACTCTGGGTTCCGAGATGCCTTTCGGGATGAAGAGGAGGTGGACGAGGAGGAGGAGGAGGAGGCATGTTTTAACATGCCATGCCAGCCCGCACTAGGCGGGCACGCAATCGACCTTGGAAACCGCAGTGGGTCTAAAAACCCTGTTTGGGGATACTGCACTCCGGCTATAATGCAAGTCGAAAGTGCGCGGCGCCGATGCGAGGTCCACTTTTTGAGAAGGAGCCGCCCCTCATCCCCGAAGCTCTCTTGCAAGAGGACTGCTCACGCCCTGAAGGGCTGGTGGGGCTCAGCGCTTTCCATTGGCAGCGCGATGGGTTTATTTTCAAGTCGGGCACGTCCTTCGACAGGAGGAGTATTCAAAAGTAGTCAAAACACAGCCTGGGGACGATTTCTTGGGCATGGTTTGAAATGTTTGGGTATCTTTAATGTTTCTTCCGTGTATCCTCGGTCTCTCGGACGGCGGGCGCCGACGCCGACGCGAGGGGCAGGGGGCGGCGGCGCAGAAGGGGGCCCAGGAGGCGAGCCGCCAACCCGCGGAGGCCGTGGTCCTCCCGCCCCCTTCTGGTGGGGCCCTTCTGCCCAGGCCTCCAGACGCTGTGGGCCCTCATGACTTTTGGCGCCCCCTCTGTCGCCCACGAGCTCGGGGAGGTCCCACCCCCATACTCACACACCTTGCTGCTACTACCATGTGGGACACTCTTGTGAACGTTGTCCTGTGCAACCCACTTCATATCGCAGATGGATGGATGGATGGATGGAGCTGCGGTTCGCCGACATCATAGTGTGCCCAGCGACGACCGCGAGGCAACGCCTCAAGGAAATGGTGACTGCATAGCGTGCGCCGCACCACCTCATCTTCAACTTCGGGTGGGAGCGGGTGCGTTGCACTAACAAGAGTGCGGGCTGTGCGATTTTTGTGAGGAGTAGAGTGATCAGGCGACACCACGTTGTAGACGTGAGGTTTCCGCCACGAGAGCTCGCTGGCCGCGGTGGCCTGTTACGACTTCATTCATGGACCTACGACACCACAGTCGTAGCGGAGTATTTTCCTCCCTTGAGCAACACGCAGACGGACTCGTGGCGGGCGCCACACTTGCAGGCAGCTGGCCAAGTGGATCCACCACTCGGTGCAGGAGGCCCAGCGGCGTTCCCTCGTCATCGCCGCGGTGGGCGCGAACTGCTCCTTCGGGCAGAGGCGCACAGGTCACGGGCTGCCCAGCCCGACGGCTGACGGGGTCCACGTTGGGCCCCATGCGTGCGGCATGGAGAACGAGGTCTCGATGGAGCTGTGGCGCATCATGGAGATGGAGGGGCTGGCGTTTGTGAGTTCGTTCTTCCCAGTGGGGCCCACCAACTTCGGCAAAGAGGCCCAATCGTCGCCCGACCATATCTTCATGCCGATCGACGCGATTGTCCAGACGCTGAAGTGTCGCACGCTGCGCAAGGCCACGCGCGCACTACAGGTCATCCCAGATGCACGACCGCGAGATCACGCACCCCTGTTGCGGCAGGCGCGCTACCAGTTGCAGGCACCAGAGACGTTTCCAGCGGCCACGCTCTGGGATGAGGATTACTTTGCACGTCCGCTTCGCCACCAGGGGACCAGAAGGGGCACCCATTTTGGCGGAGCTGGAGCGGCTCAGCGCTTCGCAGAGCCACGAGTGGAAGCTGCAGGCCAGCCGGCTCGACCCCTCTGTGCCGCGGGCGAAGTTGGCTGAGGGCCTCCGCAAGTCGGCGCAGCTGGAGGCCACCAAGGAGGCCAAGAAGCCCGAGCTGACCCCGCACTTGCAGCAGCGGGGCGCCCTTGTGGCCCAGCGCAAGAGCGCCCGCGTGCATTGTTTCACGGGCGAGGATCGAGTACGCCCACGAGAACTTGAGCGAGCAATCAAGAAGCAGAAGCGCCGCCTGGACCCGGAACGCATCGAGGCCCCGATGCACGAGGCGGAGGCTATGAGGGGCACGGGTGGCACGCGCAACGCATGGCGGCTCATCTACGCCGCGGGGGCTCGCTGCAGGGGCCCCCGCCAGCGGGCCTACAACGCCCCGCCCCAGCGCCAGCCGCCCCTAGAGGAGAGGGCGGACATCGTGGTCTCGGGCGCGCGCGAGGGGGACTTCAGCGCGACCGTGCCCAACTCGCCCTCCGAACCCATTGGCGCCGCCGTCGAACGGCTGCGCGACCAGGGCCTCGAGTACTTCCCTGGGGCCCCAGCATCACTCGCCCACGACGACTGGCTTCGGATTCTGAAGCTGCTCAGACGGGCTTCGCGGCGGAGATTTGCACCGGAACACTCGGCCCCAACGGGGCTCTGGCACTGGCTGATGTTGCGCGCCGCCGAGGAGATGACGGGAGAGCAGCCCTTCATGGAGGCCGCGACAGGGGCGGGGCGCGTGAAGATGGGGCGCCGCGTGCACGTAGCCTGCATGCAGTTTACAGAGCGCCTTCGGCGCCTTCTGCGCCAGTGTCGGGACGAGGCGAGGACACTTTGGCAGTGGCGCTGGAGTAGAACGTTTCAGCTCTCCGAGGGGAACTCCAAGAAAGGGCGCCAAGGCCATGGGGCTCACCCACTGCTTCTGTCCGTTTGGGAAGTCTTCGTTTCGAGGCCTGTTCCCGAGGGGCGCCCGCCCGCCTCTACCCCCGCGCGCGCGTGGATATGCAGCGCGTCGTTGTCGGCAAAACGCGCAGCTCGTTGCTGAGATCCACAGCTGGAGACTGAAGAAGTTAGGCTTTTCTCACCTCGTGATCAAGGAAGATAAGGCGAACGCGTTCCCTTCGACCTCCCATGCAGAGCTCGGGCGCGCCGCGGCAGAGGTTGCCGAGTTTGCCCAGGGCCGCGCCCTTTTGAAGCAGAGGCACGAGGAGGCCGTAATGGGGATCAGGGCGGGGGAGCAGTTGGGGCACTTGCTGCAATTGTTGGGGCCAGGAATGAGGGGCGGGAGCGCCTGCGAGCTTTTTGCGCGCAGTTTCCTCGGACCCATCGAGGCCTGGCGAGAAAGATTTGGCGGTGGCGCCACCATGCGCGCGAGCGACCTGGTGCCAGAACCAGCGCCGCTACTTCGAGTGGCCGGCATCATGACTTGCACGTTCACTAGTAGAACGCACGACGTGTCGGTGCGCGACTACGCCGACAATGTCCACCAGACCCATCCGCTCTCCTCTACCAGCCCGCGCGAGGCCAGGGCTCGCGCGCTAGCCTCGAACGCCATCTCAGACGAGGCACTGAGGACAGGAGGTGTTTTCGCCCAGAACCCAGACATGGAAAATCCGATGCCCGTCATGGCCGGCGCGGGGGCCTACGCAGCCGCGAGAGCTTTGTTGGCCCAGCGCGCTCTTCTTCCTGGAGTCGCGGCCTCGGGGAGGGGGGGGGGGGGCGCTCTACCTGGGCGGGGTGGAGCAGTTGGCGGCGGGGAAGGGGGGGGGATCAGGGGGCGGGTGGAGGCGACCAGGGCGGCCTGGAGGAGGCAGGGGCGTTTTTGGGGCCGCGCCCATTCGACTGGGCTGAAGAGGGCGGCGCTCACGGGCATGACCCCTAGCGTTGCTTACTCTGGCCTGGAGAGCTACCCCCCCTCCAAACTCGACCTCCGCATGTTAGACGCCGTTGTGTTTGGGTTCGCTCGAGTGGTTCTGCGCGGTCGACGACCCGAGTTCGACCCCTCGGCCGCCCCTGGGACCAAGCCTCGATGTCGCTCGATGTCTGAAGCCCTCCTGATGAAGAACTTTCGCGTCGCCGATAGCAAAGCAGAACTACTTCTTCGCAGACTGAGGCAATGACAAAGGTTGGTACGTTATCCTGTTCACATCGGGCAAGTCATCACTGCTCGCTTTGGCGCCCTCGACGGCCTCGGCGCAGCGTCTACCATGGCCGAGGGGGGGGGGGGTCGCCGGCGCGGCTAATCCATGGGCAAGGCAGCTGGAGCAGGACACGCAGGCCCTGCGTCTTTCGGGCGGCGGCCCCGAATTCGTAGGCCACTACAGTGCCACCGACATTTTCACGAATGCGCGAGCGGCGAAGCTCTTCCTCCGCTTCAATCCCAAGCTGCTGAGAAACGTACCTGAGCTCAGGGGCCAGAGATCCAGCGAGAGTGCCCCTCAAGGTTCCCCAGAGGAACCACTTCGTGAATTTGTTTGCGAGCTTTCCAGGGACGGTGAGAACGGCGCGCGCGGACAGGTCTTCTACAGCAAAGGCGCACTCATTGCACATCAATGCCATCATCCATCCCATCGTGTGCGTGTACCCGCTCATCTACTTGTACACAGTAATCAGTGTGTATGATGCATGTCCACGTTCAAGAGTCAGGTCACAGAACGTCGGCACGTAGCACTATCCTTACGTCGGGGAAGGCGCCTCTGCGACAAGAGCCTCTATGCGCCCCCCTGTGGTAGAGCCCGCGGACCTCCGCTGCCCCATCTGCCTGAACCCCGGGGCCGCCCTCCCTGCGTTCGTTGAAGGTGTGCCACCGGGCTCCAGATGCTTAGACCCGTTTCATACATTTGCTGAACTTCAGATTCGCATTCGAGAGGTCCACGCACCTCCGCCCCCCGACCTGGCGTTTGACGAACACGAGTGCGAGGAGGACACTCGTGCAAGACATGGACTTGGCGGCAAGGGCCCTCAGCGCGGACGCAGAGTGGGCAGGCGCTCGAGACAGGACCCTTCGCTCCAGGAGCGGCGAACAGCGGCGCCCGCAGAGGGGCCCGCAGTCCCGAGGGCGCCCGTGCGCCCCAGGGTCTGCAGCAAGAGCCCCAGGCGCAGCGGCAGAGGAAGGTCTCGGGCCCGCCCAGGCAGATCGGGCTGCCGCGGGAGGGCTGCCGCCCTTTCGCCCCGCATCGGGGGCGCCGGGCGGGCGAGACTTTGGCGCGGCGCTGTCGGCGGCGTTCGACGCGGCGGAGAACGCCCGCGGCCTCCAGCGGCGCGACGTGGCGGCGTTCGGGCAAGAGGCATTTCCCGCGGAGCTGGTCCAGGCGATGTTCCCGCTCCTCATGCGCGCGACCTTAGGAACGCCCAGGGGTTGGCAGCGCTGGAGGCGGCGACCTTCCATCGGGTCCACCTGCAGAAGGACCGCGCCGCGCGCAAGGCGGCGCGCGTCGCGGGCCGCTTCGACGAGGGGGGGGGCAACGAGATTGAGGCGCGAGCACGCGCGGGCCATCCGCGACAAAGGCCCGTTTCCTGAACTCGAGACCTTGGGCGTGCCGCATCCTCACTTGTTCATGGCCCTCGTGGGCGCAGTGGTCCAGCAGGGGGGGCGCGTCGGCGCGGCCAACTACCGGGCGCTCAAAGGCTGCGTGGGCGGCATCAAGGCAGACAGCTCGCTGACCAACGCGAAGATGTGCGAGGCGACCCGTCGCCGCCGCATCTCGTGCGCGCACGACCGCGAGAAGCTCAATATCTACTTCGAAGCGAAGGACACGGGAGTGCAGCCGCATATGCTCGACTCCTCGAGGCAGCTCGGCGGGGGCGCGAAGCGCGGGGCGTCGCCGAGGTCGCGTCGGGAGAGAGTCATGCAGCTGATGAAGGACGCGGCGGGCGACGGCATGTAGAGAGTGAGGCCCGACAGACGAGGCCTGCGATTTTGGGCGGGCTCGAGGAGTCGGGGACGCCTTTGCATGGCTCGACGTCTGGCGCGTCTTTGCATGGTGGCCTCGAGCGGTCAGGAACGCACTTTCAAGGCACGTCGTCTGCCGCGCCGTTGGTTTGGACGCCGATGTCGCCGCCGCCATCCCAGAGACACTCTACTGCTCCTCAGACGCGTACCCCTCGGACTTCGATGGCGCCGGCGACGGCGACTGGGCGCTCTACTGCTACCCTGATGCGTACCCGTCGCCCTTCGATGACGCCCGCGACGGCGACTGGGCAGCCCTCGGCTCCAAGCGCGAGAACCCCATCGACCTCCTGCCTCTACCATCGCAAGTGCAGCGACTTCGACACTGCCAACGAGAGCTAGGTCGTTAGGCCAGGGAGGAGGAGGGCACGGAGTATAAGTGGGGCCACAGGATCTGGGCCGTTCAGAACCCCCCTCCCCTCGCCCCCCGACCCCGCCTCGCCTCGCCTCGCCCTCGTCTCTCAACGCCTCCATCCTCCGTCTGATACGCGCTGCCCCTCCCAAAGATCGGAGTTTGTCCGCCTTGGGGCCCGCTGTTTTCCCCCTCGGTACCTGGGGCCTCGTCGTCGTCATCTCGCCGTCGGGGCCCTGCCGTCGGGGCCCTGGTCCGAAGCCCGAAGCCGTTCCGCCTGCGTTAACAGCCCAGTCGTTGCACGTTTTTGGGGGGCGCGCCTGGCCGTCGGGATACCTCCTTGGACGCGCCGAGGCGCCGCGCCCCCCCCCCCCCCACCACCACCACCACCACCGCCACCACCACCACCACCACCACACACACACACACGCACACGCACACGCACACGCACACGCACACGCACACGCACACGCACACGCACACGCACACGCACACGCACACGCACACGCACACGCACACGCACACGCACACGCACACGCACACGCACACGCACACGCACACGCACACGCACACGCACACGCACACGCACACGCACACGCACACGCACACGCACACGCACACGCACACGCACACGCACACGCACACGCACACGCACGCACACGCACACGCACACGCACGCACGCACGCACGCACGCACGCACGCACGCACGCACACGCACACGCACGCGCACGCGCACGCGCACGCGCACGCGCACGCGCAACGCGCAGCGCGCGCGCACGCGCACGCGCACGCGCACGCGGCACGCGCACGCGCACGCGCCACGCGCACGCGCCACCAGCGCACGCGCCGCGCACGCGCCGCGCACGCGCACGCGCCACGCGCACGCGCACGCGCACGCGCACGCGCACGCGCACGCGCACGCGCACGCGCACGCGCACCGCGCACGCGCACGCGCACGCGCCAACGCGCACGCGCACAGCGCACGCGCACCGCGCACGCGCACGCGCACGCGCACGCGACGCGCACGCGCACGCGCACGCGCACGCGCACGCGCACGCGCACGCGCACACGCGCACACGCGCACACGCGCCCACGCGCCCACGCGCCCACGCGCCACACGCGCCCACGCGCACACGCGCACACGCGCACACGCGCACACGCGCACACGCGCACACGCGCACACGCGCACACGCGCACACGCGCACACGCGCACACTCGCACACGCGCACACACGCACACACGCACACACGCACACACGCACACACGCACACACGCACACACGCACACACGCACACACGCACACACGCACACACGCACACACGCACACACGCACACACGCACACACGCACACACGCACACACGCACACACGCACACACGCACACACGCACACACGCACACACGCACACACGCACACACGCACACACGCACACACGCACACACGCACACACGCACACACGCACACACGCACACACGCACACACGCACACACGCACACACGCACACACGCACACACGCACACACGCACACACGCACACACGCACACACGCACACACGCACACACGCACACACGCACACACACACACACACGGGCGCAGACCCCGCTTTAGAGCGCGCTCGAGGAGCTATGGCAATGTTTTATCCCCCTCCGATTCCGGCGAATCGTGACCCGTTCTCCTGATGAGACCGCCGCCGCCTTCTGGTGGGCCCGCGAGCGAGGAAGCCCGCGCGTGGGCCCATTTCAAGTCGGGCCTCCCCCTCTTCAGGAGGAGTATTCCAAAATAGTCAAACCGGAATATTGCTTAATATGTTTTATTCGTATTCGAAGGTCCGCCTGTAGGGGGGCATGCCCGACCTGAGGCTAATGCAAGGGAGGGAAAACCACCCGGGCCCGGTAGTTGGCGTTTACTGAACGGCCCTGGGCGTCTTTTGTTTTTTTTTTAAGCCCTGCCCTGTTCGATGCCTTCTTTGGGCGAGCTTGCTGAGCGACTTCGCGTGTCAGGGTGGTTATTATGGGGATGGGTTTTCTGCCCTCTATTAACGCGCGTGGGCTGAGGTGCGCGGAGTGTTTTCTTGAAGTCAGCGGGCGCCAGGCGCAGGGGTGCTTCGGAAGCAGACCGCGAACCGGGGGGATGGCGTGGTTCTCATCCCCTTTTGGTGGGCCCGCGAGAGGGGGAGCCCGCGCATGGGCTGCAATGGGCGGCTTGAATAAGGAGCACTTGCTTTTCCAACGGAGCCCGGTCGTTCTTCTGGTTTGCATGCGTTGCTCCTCGT